CGCGCGGTACTCCGTCTCCCAGGTGTCCCCTGATAAACCTGCCTCACTTTACCCTCCCGTGCCACGGATACCGGATATGCGGCAAGGGTTGATGACAAACAAATGCGCTAGGCCGGAGTCAGCACCGTGGTGGTGACCCCTAGAGGGTCCCGCACGCGCATGCGTGACTCATAGTGCTGCGAGTGCGTTGTTCTTCCCATAATTCTCTGCATGCGGCCCTCTGCTTTCCCAATCGTCTCCAGGGCCCGCGGGGTATTCTGGGCGCAGCAGCAGTGGCTGCCCCAGGCGCGCCACTTCCGCTTGTCAAAACTCGGGGTCGCGGAGTTTCCAGAGCTTTTTGTCAGGGGGAGGAGTCACGCGGGGTGCTTCCCTTCGCGTCCCCGGGAAGAAAGTCCCGATGATTTTGTGCAGGCCCTAAAAATCCTAAAATCTCAATTTTATTCTTTTTGTTGTTGTTGTTGCTTTCTGGGGAATTTGAGTCCTGACGTCATGGCGAGTTTTTTTTTTTTTCAACAACTTTTGGTCCCGTCAGCCGCGGTGGCATCAAGGACGATTCCCAGGAGGGAGAAAAAATAGTAATAATTAAAAAAAAAACCAAAACTTCCGAAATCAGCAAAAGAAAAATATGAAATTAAATTTTAAAAATCTGGTTCCGGGTAGGGACACTGCTCAAGTGCTATTTCCGTGCGGCAGGAGGCGCCAAACTGCATAGGCCATACAGGCTTACAGGAAATTAAGAATTAAGAATTCTGTTTTCAAACGTGATAATAAAAGAAAAATCAAAATAAAGTTTTTGCATTTTAAAATGTGAAAGAAAAAATTTAAAAGTTTATTTTGTTTCCAGGAAATGAGAGGCTGGGTGGAAGTTGAGAGGGGGCAGAGCCACCTGTCGATTTGGTGTCAATGAACTGTCCATGACGTCACCCTGGGAACCAGACTGACAGTTCATTGAGTGACACTAGAACAAAAGTGAGGGGGGGGGGCAGAGCTAACTGTCATGTCAGTGTTAATCAATGAACTATCCATGAAGTTAGCCTGGGACCTTGACAGTTAACTGACTGGCAGCTGGCAAGAACCATCATCCATCCACTGACCCTAGAACATGTCTGCCAGCCCAGGCTAGCCCTGAGCGCTCCCTGGTTTCTCTCCTCCCAGGATGCCTTGCACACCCAGCCTCCCTGCAGTATTCCTGCTGCTCCTCCTAGATACCCTTGAACTGCACTGGAAACCTGCCTATACCCCTGTGCCTGCTACATCCCCACCAAGGTCCGCTGCAACTTCTGGTCTCTTCCAGTGTCACTTCCAGTAGGGATTCCCTGTGATTTGGAGAGGATCAACCTTGGGTGCATTAGGCTCAGGTAAGACTGGAGAACTTGGCGGTCACGTGGTTCACACACAGGTTCCCAGGTATGGGGAGGATGACCCCGGGATTCGAACTCGGATCCTTGAATTTGGCTGCAGTTGCCTCAAGGTCTCTAAGCATATCTGGCTTTCCTCAGGGACTGGGGATTCGAACTCTGGTCTTCACACTTGGCCACATTTGGCTCCAGCCCTGAAACCCTATAGTGCTCTCGGATAATGTGCATGTGCTGCCATTCACCTTCCCGGACCTGGGATTCGAACTGGAATCCTTCTTGACACTTGGCCACAGTCCCCTAAGCACACTCAGCCCCTATAATGTAACCCTGTATCATGCATGTGCAGAACCAAATGTTTCCACCCTCCAAGACCTGAGATTCAAACTTGGATCCCTGTGATTAGCTGCAGTTGCCTCTAGCCCTGGAGCTCTATATCCTCTTTAGCCCCTGAGCCCTACAATGCACCCTGGTGAGGAAAATGTACACATTCAGCTTTCCTCAGGGACTCAGAATTTGAACTCACATCCTTTATGACATTTGGCCATAGTCATCTTCATCCTCCATCCTTATACTGCACCCCCATATCATGCTTGTGCAGTGTCTCCTTTATCCTCAAACCTTGGATGTGAACTTAGATCCTGGCCTTTGGCCGTAGTCACCCTGCAGGCCCTAAGCTTTATATCCACTTCAGCCCCTGAGCCCTATAGTGCCCCCCAGAAACAAATATGCACTTCTGTTTCCCCGCCTGCAGAGACTGGGCATTTGAACTCATAACCTGACATTTGGCCACAATCCCCTAAATACACTCAACCCTAGAGTGCATGCATGTGCAGAATCATTTCTGTCCTGGCAGTCTCAGGATTTGAACATATAACCTCATGTTTGGCCACAGTCCCTACCAGGTCGAGCTCTACAGTGAATCCCCTTAACTCACATATGCACTTCTGGCTTCCCAGCCCATGGAGATAAGGGATTCAAACCCAGATCCTCACGTTTGGCCACAGTTACCTTACTACACTCAGCCTTATAGTGAACCCTGGTAACTCACATCTGCACTTCTGGCTCCCCGTCTCTCCACCCCAGGGACCAGGGATTCAAACTCATTTCCTAGTGTATGGCCGTAGTTGTCCCCAGCCCCTAAGCCCTATAGTGCACCCTAGAAACTTACATATGCACTTCCAGTTGTTTCCCAACACCCCCACACACAATGGTTATTCAAACTCTAATTCTTGCATTGGGCAGCAGTTGTCCCCAGCCTCTGAACCCTATAGTGCACCCCAGAAACTCACATATGCACTTGTGACTTCCCTGACCCCGGGGACCAGGTATTCAAACTCAGATCCTGACATTTGGCTGCAGTCACCTAAGTACACTCAGCCCTGCAGTATCCACCCCCATGTCGATTGTTCATTTGTTGTTTGCTGCTCACTGACTCTTTGTTGTAGATGGTCTCTCCGGCTGTCAGTGATTGGTTAAGGTTGTTGATTGATGGTTGATTATCGGTTGATTGTTGATTATCGGCTGATTGTTGATATTAGTTGGTCATTGATGACCTCTGGATGGAAGGGTGGTTATTGATCAGGATGTTTGTTGATCGATGATCAATTGTTGATTTTCAGTTGTTGTTGGAATATTATTTATTGTTTACTTATTGACCTTTGGGGTTGGTTATGGATTAATTGTGCATATTGTTTGATTTTTTATTGATCCTCGTTTTTTTTATAATTATTGATTACTGATTGCCAGCTCTATGGATTGGTTGTTGACGACTGATTGGTTACTGATTGTTTATTATTACTGATGGGGTATTGATTAAGGATTGAGCATGTGTGGATTGGCTGAGTATTGACTGACTGACTATTGATCGCTTTTTTATTGATTTTCAATTAATTGATTATTGACTGACTATGGGCCATTTGTTGATGGATTGACTATCAGTAGTTTGTTGATTGATGGCGAAAGCTGGTCACCCTTGGGAACAGCACATAGGTGTGTTGCAAATGGAGCTCTTTAGCTCTTTTGCCAGCAAGACCCTTTAGAGAATCCCATCCATTTGGCAAGGACCTATGGATAACAATCCGGCAAACAACTGTGCTGATTTTAGGGAGTTCATGAGCTTCAGGCTTCTCTAACTGTTGCTATGCTTAATCCTATGGTAACTTTTAGTTATGCCGGAGTGTACTGGGAATTATAGAAAAATTACATTTCTCTGATCTGTTACAGAAACCAGTTTCTCCGGTCGCCCCTGGCTGCCTCTGCAGTCATCCTGAATAAGCAGGAGGAACTCACTAAGGTTAATGATTATTGACTATTTGATTCCAAAAGAGAAAGATATACTCCAAAGAACTTAAGAACCGAGAAAACAGTTTTTTGGTTTTGGTTTGGGTTTTTTGTTGTTGCTGTTGTTTTGTTTTGTTTTTTGTTTTTTGGCTATTCGAGACAGGGTTTCCCTGTGGCTTTGGAGGCTATCCTGGAACTAGCTCTTGTAGACCAGGCTAGTCGTGAACTCACAGAGATCCACTTGCCTCTCCCAAGTGCTGGGATTAAAGGCGTGCGCCACCACCGCCCGGCAAGAAAATGGTTTCTTAAAAGATGACATTAAAAACCTTATAGGAACACAGAAGGAAAAAGAGATAGGACATGAAAGGTCAGGCATTTCTCTGGCACCAGGGCATGAACACTCATATACTTTTCCAATATCAAAGGATCAATAAAGGAATATAGAACTCTGGGTTCCTTTAAAAGAAAAGTACATGTAGAAAACGCCAGGAAGAATAGAAGTTTAGTCTCAATGTTAAAGAGTTAGATATTGATCATTATTCTTTTGAGAACTTATAATAGGATTATCACTGCAATCCATATAATAAAGGTGACATACAGATTACTCAGAAACTGGTATACACCTAAAAAATGATGTGCTAGGCATCACAATCTATTCATCTGATTTCATATTGTTAAAAGATAATCACTGGGATTAAGTATCTTACTTTGTAACCACATGTTTGTTGCCAACTAGGTCACAGTATGAATAAGTGGGAAAGAAGAGAAACTAAAATGTTAATGATTCTTGGACAATGACTAAAGAGAAATGACTTGAAACTGCTCAAGCTTGAATGCATTAGAACCTGTAGAAATAAAGACAGCCTGAGCTAGGGTCATCAGTTTGAAAGACAACCAGTGGTCAGACTCTTCATTTTTTGCCAACTTCATACATCCTTCCTGTGGCACAAGAACCCTGCCGGAGATGGACTCCAATAGATTGATTCTTTGTTGACTACTGATTATTGATTCGCTGCTGGTCATTTGCTAATTGTTGAATATTGATTGACCATTGGTTGTTTGTTGATTGAGTATTGATTATTGAGTGACTGTCAGCTGTTTGTTGAATGACTATTTGTAAATGGAATTCTTAATTATCTAAATAATAAATCCCGGAGTCAGATATAGAGGAAAATGCTGAGAGATCAGAGAGAAGGAGCAAGGCAAATCCACCTTTACCTCTTAGTGTCTCAGCAGACAAGAGAGTGAGTTCCTATTTCTTCCCGCTTATATCCTTTCTCCACCCAACCATCTCACTTCGTTTGTGCTCAGCCATTTCACTTCCCTGTCTGTACAGACCTCCAGACTTCACTGCTCCTCAGATTCACTCAAACTGCTATGCTCTCCTCAACGTGGCTAGAGACTAAGTCTTAGACTGAATGCCTCTTCCTTTTATACCTTTAAAATCCTGAGATTAAAGGAGTGAGCTCTGATTCACTCTCTGGTAGCCCAGAGTGGTCTTGGACTCAGAGATCCATCTCCCTTATAATCCTGAGTCCTGGGATTAAAGGTGTGTATCACCACCACCACCTGATTCTACAGCTTGAGCCTGGCTGTGCTTTCTGAATCCTCAGGCAAGCTTTAATAAATCATATATATCACCACAACTATTGATTATCGACTGACTACGGGTCATTTGTTGATTTACTATTGATTATTGATTGACTATTGGTAATCAATGGATTATTGACTGTTGAGTGGTTAGTTATTGACCATTCATTATCGACTATTGGTCATTTATTGATTGACTACTGATTATTGACTATCATTAGTTGATTGAGCATTGATCATATATTGACTATTGACTATTGATTATTGACTATTGATCACCAACTATCAGTCATTTGTTGATTGACTATTGATTATCAATGAACTATCAGCTGTTTGTTGATTGGCTTATTATTGGTAATTGGCAGATTATTGGTTGTTTGTTCAGTAGTTGATTATTGATTGACTGTTGGTCATTTGTTGATTGATTATTGGTCATCAGTTGTTTGTTGATTGGCTATTGATTATCCATCAAATCCCTCCCATCAATGCTCAGGGAATCCTGTGAAGTAGGAGGTGGAAAGATTGTAAGTCAGAGGGGGTGGAGGACACTAGGAGAACAAGGCCCTCTGAATCAACTAAGCAAGGTGCATATGAGCTCACAGAGACTGAGGCAGCAAGCACTAGTCCTACATGGGTCTGCACCAGGTCTTCTGCATATATATTATAGCTATTAGCTTAGTATTTCTATGGGACTCCAACTATTGATTGTCAACTGCTGATTATCAATTATTGATCACTGATTGACTATCAACCCTGCCCACCACCCTCACAGGTCCAACAGCATCCAGGACCTGCCTATCATGGCTTTCACCAGGATGGTGCGGCTGGAGCTACTAATGCTTCATGGGAACGGAGATAGAGAGATTCCAGACAGGGCCCTGCAGGACCTGGTGGCCCTGCAGGTAGGTGCTTAGTGCCAAGTACTCTGGCCTCAAATGCTCAGTGACAGGTACTCCTGGCCTCACGTCATCACTCAAGGCCACTCCCCATCTGATGGGAGATGTTATCTGTATATGTTTCTCTTATTGGTTGATAAATAAAAACACTGACTGACCAGACAGGAAGATAGGCGGGGCTAGGAGAGGAGGAGGATTCTGGGAAAGATAGGCATTGTGAACCTGCCGGACAGAGTCATGATGCTGCCAGAGGAGTAACACCATGCCGGGCATTACCAGGTAAGCCACAGCCTCATAACAATACATAGATTGATAGAAATGAGTTAATAATTAAGACAGAGCTAGCCGATAAGAAGCCCTAGTCATCAGCCAACAAACAGTTTCATAATTAATACAGCCTCTGTGTATTCATTTGGGGCTGACACGGCTGTAGGACCAGTCTGGTGGGAAGAACCATCTGTAACACCCATCCTCATGTCATTATTCATAGCTTCACATCTACACCATTGACCTCACCACCGATGTCATCACTGATGTCATCACTCACGGCCACTCCCTGGCCTCACATCATCACTGAGGAATCAGTTTACCTCAAGACCCAGCAATTCCTCTCTTGGGCATATACTCAAGGAATGCACATTCATACCACAAGGCCATCTGTTCAACTATGTTCATAGCAGCTATGTTTGTAATAGCCAGAACCTGGAAGCAACCTAGATGCCCCTCAACTGAAGAATGGATAAAGAAAATGTGGTACATTTACACAACAGAGTACTACTCAACAGAAAAAAAAAAAAAAAACAATGGAATCTTGAAATTCCAAGGCAAATGGATGGAACTAGAAGAAACCATCCTGAGTGAGGTAACCCAGACCCAGAAAGATAAATGTGGTATGTACTTACTCATAAGGGAATGTTAGCCATTAGGTAAATGATAACCAAGTTATAATCCATAGACCCAGAGAGGTTAGGTAAAGAGGAGGAGTCTAGGAGGAATGCAAAGATCTCCCTGGGAAGGGGAAATAGAATAGATTTTACTGGTAGTCTGGGGATGGTGGGAACATGAGCAGAGGGGATCAGGCATGTGGGGAACATGGGATAGAGGGAAATAGTGCAGAAAGAGATGACTGGAATTGGGGAAGGGGGCATTTGGGGGGTGTGCAAACCTACAACAGTGGAAACTTCCTGGAATCTATTAAGGTGACCCTAATGAGAATGCCTAGTAATGTGTAAGGGGCCGTGGGCCCAAAACTATGCGGCTTAAAGCTCACCTTTGTAAGACTTTTAATGACCTTTAAGTTTGCGGCTTAAAGCCAGCTCTGTGAGCCTCCTGTAACCTGTAATTAGATACGGTTTGGCCAAGCGGAACTGTTAACTGCTTCTGTTCCGAGAAAGGGTCTGGAGCTTTTCTGTTCGCTGTTCCAAGAAAGACCACTAGATGTTCCGGCTGACAAGAAGAATGTTCCAGTCCCAGCAAATACCTGATGTTCCTTCTATTATTCCCCCCAATTCTATTGTTGCAGGGCTATTTAAGCCCACTCTAAGCCACAGTAAATCGAGACCTTGACATTGCACAGACAGACTCTTGTCCTTTCTTGCGCCGGTTGGTCTCCATTCCTCTCTCGCCCCCATCGACCCCCTTAGGTGACAACCTCCTCGAGACCCGCAAATAACCTGGCCTGCTGGATGGGTCAGTAATGGGGAATACAGAGTCTCAACTAGCCATCTCTTGTAGACAGGCAAAGCTTCCAGTGGAGGGACTGGGTTGCATTCAATTGAGTTGTTGACCAAGGGGGTCCCATGGAAATCCCCAAACAACCTAGGCTGATGTTAAGACAGAAAGAGTTGTTCTCTACAAAGTGACAGTGGGGCCCATTACGAAGGACAACATCCACACAACTCATTGAATGTGGAGAAGTTGAGCTGATGCCTACAGGGAGCCTTCATCCCTACATTCTCGTCTCCTCTGTGTGGGAAGAGTCTCTGTCTATAGGTTACCAAAAGAGAAACGTGGACACCAACCCAGTCACCAAACCCCTGACCTACAATCTATCTATCTTGCCTGAAAAATATGCTAGGACAATGGTAGCATAGAACTTGTGGGAGTAGCCAACCAATGTCTGGCTTTGACTTAAGGCCTTACTCCATGAGATGGAACCCATACCTGACATTGCTTGGGTGACCAAGAAACAGAGACTAGATAGCCCAGAGTGCAAGGGTCAAACCAAACACAGCTGGTCTAAAACAATCAATAAAATGACTCCTAATGATATTCTGCTGTACTCATAGATCAGAACCTTATCCTCTCATCAGAGAGGCTTCCTCTGGCAGCAGATGGGAACAGATGCAGAGGCCCACAGCCAGACATTATATGGAGAGAGTCTACATTGGATGTCTCCATCAAATCCCTCCCCTCAGTGCCCAGGGAATCCTTCGAAGAAGAAGGTTGAAAGATTGTAAGTCAGAGGGGGTGGAGGACACCAGGAGAACAAGGCCCTCTGAATCAACTAAGCAAGGTGCATATGAGCTCAGAGACTGAAGTAGCAAGCACAGGGACTATACAGGTCTGCACCAGGTCTTCTGTGTATATATTATAGCTACTAGCTTAGTGTTTCTATGGGACTCCTGACTGTGAGAACGAGTATGTCTCTGACTCTTATACCTGCTCTTGGGACTCTTTTCCTCCTGTTTGGTTTCTGTGTCCAACTTCAACGTGATTGTTTTAGCTTCATCTTAATATATTTTACTTTGCCATTTGGTTGTTTGGTTGTTATGTCTTAGAAGCCTGTTAATTTCTAATGAGAGACAGAAAGAGAGTGAATGTGGAGGGGAGGGAAGGTGGGAAGGAATAGGAGGAGTACAGGGAGGGGAAATTACAATCAGGATATACTGTATGAGAAAAGAATATATTTTCAATTTTAAAAATAGGGCTAGTATAAAACTACAATAATTCATATAGCATGCTATTAGTATAAGAACAGATATATCAATAAATATATACTGGACTGGAGAGATGGCTCAGAGGTTAAGAACACTGGTTGCTCTTCCAGAGGTCCTGAGTTCAATTCCCAGCAACCACATGGTGGCTCACAACCATCCCTTATGAGATCTGGTGCCCTGTTCTGGCATGTAGGCATACATGGAGGCAGGATGTTGTATTCTAGATAAATAAATAAATGAAAATAAATATATACAATAAAGTCCAGAAAGAACCACATCTATATGGTCAAGTGTTATTTGACAAAGGTGTCAATATGATTTAATGGTGAAAATAAATATTTTTTAACAATTTTTTTCTGGAAGAAATAGGCTTCAGAACCGGAAGAATACAACAAACCCTGACCAATGTATCATTTTCATTATGAATGCATCATTTTACCATATCAATTAACCCTCACACAGATAACTACAAGCAGTAAATTTCTGAGCTAGAATTTTGCCTAATAAACTGGAATGAGAAGTTTGAGAATCTTTTAGTTCAGGGTTAGTTTAGGTTATCACTTCTCTATCTGCCAGTAAGGTAAAGCCAGGGCATGCTTATTTTTCATAGGCAGCTATGAATCAACAACTCTGGGCCTGTAGTAATTCTATGTCCTTGGATAGCTGGGAATGTCTTAGATGGAATGATTTTGCCTGGACCCTAAACACTGACCAAATGTCTGTCAATAAAGATAATTGCTAGAGGGCAGATCTCTGCAGTTGCAATGGAGAGGGGAACAAGGACCTGATAATGGGAAACAGGCCTCACACATAGCTAAGGAAAGTAATCAGTAAACTAGGACCTGTTAATGGAGAATAGGTTTTACACATAGATAGGGAGTGTGATAAGTAAACTCAAGCTGCATGGGGGAATTTGTTCCCAGTAAATGATCCAAATAGTGCTAAACTGTGGGAAGTAAATCCCAAATTTGTTACAGAGGGGAATAAGCTACAGGAAGAATCTAGAGCAAGAAACAGCCAATCCATTCACAAGACTATAATGCCAAATATAACTTTTGAGCTGGCTTTATCCATTTTATCCAATTAAAAATTCTTCTGAGTTGTCTCATAATATGATAGCTGTATAATTACTGTGTAATCTTGTGGTTTGTAGCAATAGCTCAACTTTATTCCAGAGTATAGGGGATATATAGGATTGGGGACAGTAGCTGGGGAATCACCTAATTTGTGTTAAACAGCACACTCCTATCATATAAAGCTCCTTGTACAAGTCTTCGTTATCTGTGGAAGCACAGTCCTATTGTAAACCTCCTAGTACAATGTCTAATTACCATATGGGCATGGGGGGGAATCTTTTGCAGGAAATTTTGTCAAAGGCCTGACTTGTGTCAGGCATCTGGGCCTACAGACAGTCTCCAAATAAGGTCAGGTAGAGAACAGGGCACATTCTGCCAGGGGGAAGGAGTCCTCCATGTTGCCAAGCTCAGAAAGAGCTGTCACACCATGGTAGACTGAAACCTCCAATTAACAAGGCCTCCCAGCAGTTTACAATAAATTACTGAGTGTTAGGTATTTTGATATAATAGCAATAGTAATAAGAAATAAGGTATTGCTGTAAGAAACACCTAAAATGGAACTGGGTGATGGGTAGAAATTGGAGTGTAAAGGATTGATCTGTGGCTGGGGGTATAGCTCAGTAGCAGAGTACTTGTCAGGAATGTGTGAGGCCCTGTGTTTGACACCCAGCAAAACAAAAAGGAAGGGAAGGGGGAAGAAAGAAAGAGGGCAGAAGGAGGGAGAGAGGGAGGGAGGGAAAGAAGGAAATATGTATGTTGAAATAGAGACTTTAATAGAATATTTTAAAATAAAATCTATCAGGCCTGGAGAGGTGGTTTAGCAGTTAACAGCATTGTCTGCTCTTCTAGAGGACCCAACATTTGTGCCCAACACCCATATGATGTCTCATAACTAACTCCAATTCCAGGATATTCAACACAATCTTCTGCCTTCCACAGGCACCAGGCACACGAGTTGTACATCGACATTCATGCAGGGAAAACACTCATACACATAAAATAAAATTTAACAAAATGTAAAAAGGAAGGAAGGAATCAATCAATCTAGGAAATCTGCCAGAATGTAGTTTTAAAAATCAAAAAAGTTAATTGAAAATTAAAAACTAGAAATGGGGGTTAATCTTGCAAGTGCTCAAAACAAGACAAGCTATAGGCAAATCCTAAATCACTTTGGGTGTTACATAAGCAGCCATGACCAGGATTTTTCTAGAAATATGGGAAGAACAGAAGAGAACAAGATAAGACATAATATAATAGAGGGAGCCATTATAGGTTTAAAGAGAAATCAGGCACTAGGGAAATGTCTGGAGAGCTACAAAGATGACACCAACTAACAATCTAAGCAACAGAGGAGAGGCTACCTTAAATGCCCTCTCCTGATAATGGGAATGATGACTAATTCATATTCCATTGTATAGCCTTCATCCAGCAGCTGGTGGAAGTAGAAGCAGACACCCACAGCTAAACCTTGAACTGAACTGAAATCCAGTTGCAGAAAAGGAGGACTGATGAGCAAAGGGGTCCATACCAGGCTGGTGAAACCCACAGAAACAGCTGACATGAACGAGGGAAAACTCTTGGTCCCCAGACTAATAGTTGGGAAACTAGCATAGGACTGATCCAGACCCCCTGAATGTGGGTATCAGTGAGGAGACCTTGGAAATCTATGGGGCCTCTTGTAGTGGATTA